ATTATTCAATTTAATGTGTTTTATTTTATATAATATTTTAAATTAATATATTTGTTATATATTATATTTATATAGGAAGAGAGTAATATTTTTAATATATAAGCATTAAATGTATATGCCATATAATGTCAGATATAATATCTAAATATTATATTTATTATTTCATATTTAATATATATTGAATTTATATTACAAATATAATATATAATATAATTTATTTAAGATTATTAGGATTCCATTTGTATTAAATATTGAATATATTGTATAAAATAAAGCGACTACAAACGCGAATACAAACTCGATATTCATTACACACATTACAACTCAGATAGAGCGAAGATATTATTGTACAAATGTATCTTCTCTAATAAATACGAAACGAATAACTGATGCTTTCTTACAAAATTTATTAATAACTACAGCAAAGGTGCAACCGGAGCGTGGGATATAACAAGTGTATATAAACACGTTTTTTTTTTGCTAACTTGAGAAAAATACCTACCTATTATTACGAATATTTTTTATCCCTAAGTTTTACACTATTATTCGGGGTGCAGAAAACTTTTGAAAAATATAAAACGAGGGTTGCGCGACGTAGAATATTTAAAATACTTCGCTGCTAGTTGAGATCGTTCAGTCTTTTCAAGAATTATTAAGAGCATGCGCAAGCAATACTTCTTGCTAAATAGAAGGTAACGTTGTTGCATAAAAAGGAAATCGCTGTCAGTCTGTAGATAACATTCGACATGGATGATTCAAAGTATGCCGGATATCAAGGTGCTCATCGTTGAAACTGCAATTTGAAAAAAAAAGATATTATAAAAATATATTTATTTATAATGTGCATGTGTGCAAATAGTAGTGAGACTTAAGATGTATTTTACTTTATTAATAATAAAAAGTTTTTTTAATTGGTTTTTTTATACAGTATTATGTCGATTAACTTATTTAAAAAATAGTAAATTAGCTAATGTAACTAGAGTAAATGTATGATATTCTTATTTTATGAGTATTTTTTGGGAATAATCTTTGATTTTGTATAATCAAAATATGATTCATAAATACATTTATAATTAATAATTCATAAAAAGTTATTATATTTTTAAATATTTTATAATATTTTTTTGTACATTCTGTTAAATAACATTTTATTTATTTTATTCTAATTGCGGATTTATTTGTGTGTATTTATGATTATGTTTTACCATATATGAATTCCAATTTATTAAGTTTCCTACAGATAGATTTCGAATGGGCAGTGAAATTAAATCGGATTGCTTTAGATTTTATTGGACTTTGGCCTAAAACCGCAAAAAACACTAAACAAAAATTAATATGCAATATTCGAGTACTTATCGTTTTTCTGTCCGTAACGTGTGGCGTACTGATTCCTTCTATACATTCATTCATAAGAATTTATGGAGACATAATGCTAATGCTAGACAATTTACAATTTACCTTGCCGGCAATAAGCTGTTCGATAAGAATCGTAATTTTTTGGTGGAAAAAGGAAGGTAGACAAAATTAAGAACAATATACGCTTACTTTATATAATTATAATGTCATAAAGAATATTTTATAAATTAAATATATATAAATATAAATAAGAATAATTTATATATAAAATAATTGTCTGGAAAGTTTCTACAGATGTTTCAATAAATAACATCCAGCACTTTTACGTCAAAGAAATTACAAAATTACTTGAAAGATGGAAAAATATTCTGGAACAAAATAATTTAAAGTTATTTCTAATAAGAAAACTTTTTATTTAAATTTTGCTTACAAATCAGTATAGATTTTTCAGGCAATCTAATAATTTCATTTATATATTATATGTGCATGAATAAAATCTATTTAAATTATGATTACAGTGTAATAAACATTTTAGATTATTAAGTCTCTTTATTTTGCTATTTACTATTTGTTTTTATTACTTACTTAAATATTATTTTTGTTATTAAAGCTATCATAAAGTAATATTTATAGCTTTATATCTATCTATTTATTTTAAACTTTTTATTGCTTAAGATTAATGTTATCATAGTTTTAATTTCAATTTTATTATATCTACTATTAAGTATTTAAAATTTTAATAATAACAATTTTAAAGCTATCATACCAATCATGAATATGATTGCGGAAGATTGGATAAAATCGAAAAGTGTGCAAGACAGAAACGTTATGATTAGAAGAGCGTACACTGCACGTATTATTATTATTTGCGCCTATTGCATAATGGGACTAGCATGTTTTTTTATTATCATTCTCCCAAGCTTTGGAATATCAATGAGACTGACTCCCAATATTACTGATCCAGGCAAGCCAATGCCTCTACAAACGTATTATATTTACGATCAAACTAAAAGACCGCAATACGAAATAACATTTATTAGTCAAGCTGTTTACATTCTTCTTGCCACTATGTCTTATACTGGAATCGATAATTTCCTTGGATTACTAATTTTCCACATATGCGGTCAATTGGATATTTTGAAAAATCGTTTGACACGTTTGGATAAATATATTAATTCTCGCAATATGCTGAAAAGTTGCATAATAAAGCACATTCATTTACTTAGGTTTGATATTTACATGAATAAAATATATTATTAATTAAATGTATATAATACAAGGAATATATTTTATAGAGCCATCGGCGTTATTGAAGATACGTATAATATAACACTATTAGCGTTATTTGTATACTTTGCAATACTTTTCGCTTTCTATGGCTTCCGAATAATTATCGTAAGTGTTGAATTACAAATAAAAATTTTATTTGAATAAATTAAATATTGATAATTTATAAACAAAAAATATATATTACGTGTTATTAAATTAAAATTATTACAAACATCAAAGTATATTGTCAACATGAGAATATTATATCTTTAACACGTACCATCAATTATTCAGCTATTCGACGAAGGAAATAATCTATCGATCACTCACTTGATATATTTTATATGCAACGTTTTCACTATATTTTCGCATATGTGCCTCTATTGTGCCCTGGGTGAGATTTTAATGGCTCGGGTGAGTTTTATTCTTTTTATTATAAAAGCAATGTTTACATATGTAATATTATACAATTTATTTCAGTAATTACTTACATAATGTTAAAATAATTAGTAACAATTTAATTTGATTAATTTAAATTTATTATTTAAAAGATTAATATTGATTTTTAGAAATATAGATATTGCGATTGTGTTATATTAAAATATATGAAAGAGAGAAGAATTTTAATATAAAATCAATCTGCAACAATTTTTTTCTCAAAAACTGATTATTAATTGTTGTATTTAAACTTTATACTGTATATGCAATGTTAATCTATGATCTATATGTTAATTTATAATCTTATATGAGTACGTGATATAATTATCTTATTCAATTATGCAACTAATGCATACAGAATTGCTACTAATATTCTAATAATTTTCCTTTTACGATACTATTTTTAGTTTTATTTATATTTTAAAATATTTTATCTTGTTTGATATTATTCACATACAAAAATTTAAATATATAGTAGATAATTTTTTGCATTTAGTATCTTTATATACTTACATAATGTATGATTGTACATATAATCTGCATCTGCATCTAATAATCGGTATCTAAAAACATTTTTGATATTTTTAAGTGTAATGAAATATATTATGCCGCATATAATAATAAATGGTATTCCGTGAATCCAAAAATTGCGAAAGATTTGTTGTTTCTATTGATAAGAGGCACTAAACCAGTCTATCTTACTGCTGGAAAAGTGTTTCCGATGACAATGGCAACATTTTGTGGTGTAAAGTATTTTAATTATAATTATTGCATTATAAAATATTTAATTGTTATTGTAATATTTCCCATGCAGTAATCTATGTCATATAAATTTTATATGTACCTATACTTTATTTTATTGCACTTATATACAATATTAAACTGTACAATCATAGAGTATATTATTAATTATTCTACAATACTTCTAAATGTGTATTTTTCAGTTAATGAAAACGTCAGTCGGTTATATATCTGTTTTGCATACAACAAAGGGTTAATAAAGATAAATCTAAATATTTTTCAACATTATACGTTTTTTAATAGAACATGACAATTTAAGAACTCTACAAGTATTTATATATTAATTGCAAATAAATTATGAATCTTATTGCACGAGTTAAAATATAATACGGATTTCATACTATATTCAGGTACAGATTTGAATTCAGATTAAAATTTAAATCAATTTAAATTAATTTAAATTTCTGCCTTTTATAAATTAAATTATTTAAAAAATATATGATAATATTATACAATATGGAAGATGCTGTCTCAATGATCTTCAAAATGTTATCAAGGTCATAATCCTTTGCCTTAACAATTAGGTGGCGATCTTTTAGTTTCTCAGATATATTAGTTTCTGAGATATTTAAAGTTAAAATGTAATTTCAGTAGTAAATTTTCACTTTGGACGATCTTGATATATGTTCTCAAGATCATGACCCTCAGTGACCTCCACAGAATTTAGCTGTTACTCGTTATTCATTAAAAAGTTATTAAGAATCAAAAATAATTATTGTCTGTAATATTTTAAACTGTAATATAGGATTTTATACAGAAATTTCCAATTTTAGCTATATTAGAAAATAAAAGAAATGTTATAATTTGAATTATAGTTCCGCAAAGAAGATCGGACACCCTTATACAGAAGTGTAGAATGGATATCGCTTGGTATAGAAAATTGAACGCAGGAGCGTTCTAAGCAGGGAAGAGTGGGATGGACTTCGCTTCACTTGAAATATCTACTTTATTCCGATTTGGTATAAAAGAAGAGCATTAAACTATATAGCAAAATATGTAGTCGAATATATAGTAGAATATATATTTTATGTTCAAAAATTATATTCTATTTATAAAAATTATTTTGTCAATAATTTTTAACATATATAATGACCACCGGCTAAAACATAAAGATAGACTCACTCAAGTTAAAGATCACTCAAGTTCATGACCTTGACAACAACGTCAAAGTCAAAGTCATTGAAGCAGCATTCCCAATATTATATAATTATTATATAATTATTATATAATTATTCATTTTATAATTAACCTTTCTATAATAAAAGAAGTTGGATGTGATCTCGTTTAAGGCTCTTGAGTAGTCAATAATCGTAAAAGACACGTAAAGTGGATCTACTAGTTTTTACTCAATGCGCATGCATAGCTTATTTTCACTTCAGAAGTCTATTTACAGACTTAAGGGAGATAAGGATAATCTCTGTCCATTTTTACAAGTGTTTTAATGCGAGTGTTCTCATCGCATTTTGTTTTATTCAAATTCTCTTTACAAATGGCATGCAAGGAAAATCAACGTATCGTTTCTCGCTTATGACGTTACGATTCAAAATGGCTAAGATGACTACTTAGGAGCCTTATCAGAAAAAGAAATTTCACATATATCATTTACTTCTTTTTACTCATTTTGTTATATCAATTGAATGAAATATGAACAAAACAGCATTGGGTCAAATCCAATCCTATATTTCTGGACATCTTGAAAATTCACCTTACCATAGAAGGGTTTAAATCATATTTATCCCTCTTTATATCTTTCCAAAGTAGTCATCATCAAAATAACAAGAATTATAAGAATACAATGTCATACATGTGATATATTTCCACGCATGCATGATTGTGTATGATTGCTACTTAGGAGACATCAGGGCACGCAAGTTGATACATAATTGAATAGTCAAATAAGCCCGCCAAGGGTTCGACCCCAATTATACAAAGAGTCTCGTTCGAAAACGATATGTCTATACAACGCACTTATAGGTAATAATACATTTACAAATAGCATATATGAATGTTATGATGACGTCTTATATTTACCCATCTTTTTAACAATTTCATTATCACATATATTAAATTACTACAATTATACATAGCAAAATCTCTATTATAGAGATTAGAACTCCCTGCTCTCTCAATAATCCTATTATTAACTTTTCTGTATTCTAAATATTTAAGCTTCTATCTTTTTACCTTTGCGCTATTTCCCATATTCTTCATATTTGATTATCACTCAGCAACGTATAAAATGAAAATATTGATAAAAAATATAAGATGCTATGCTTATCGTATTTATCAATAATTTAATGATGTTATTATTTTGCACAAGTAAAAGTAGAAATAACAGTAAAATTTTTTAAAAAATAACTTCTCATAATCATGTGAAAATCATTGTCATTTTTTACTGGAATTGTATTATCTTTTTTTATATAGTATAATTTCTATAATTAATTATTCTGCATATATAAAAGTATTAAGGTAAATATCAAAAAGTTATATAGTTTATGAGATATTTTATGGGGATTAAAATTATATATCAGAATAAAGTATAAAATATCTTTTAAACTATAATTTTTTCTATAAAGGTACTTTAATACTTTCACATGCATAGAATAATGAAATTAATTAATTGTTACAACACAAATACATAAGTAATTGTAGATAAAATATCCTGTACATACGACAGATATTTTTTAATAAATAAATAATAATTTATTAATACTAAATAATTGTATTAAAAGATAGGTAATCTGGTTTAAATCTTCTCTTCAGTATTGCAAATTAAAGTTATCCCGTAATAAATTCAAACATATGACACTTAAGTCTTCAAGAAAATATATATGATTCTTCATTTCAATAACTATTACAGTGATTGATGATGGACCACTTCAACGCATTAATTACTTTGAAAATAGCAACTCAATCTTCACAATGACATTACCTAAATATTAAAAAAAGTGAGATTTTTATTTGAATATCTGCAGCATGTAAGTAAGTAAGTTATATATGGTAAGTAAATTATTTTTACAATACTATATGTTATAGCATAATTATATATGTATTATATATATGTTATATATATGTATGTATTGTATATATATATTGCATCTGCATACATGTATACAATACATACATGTACATAATCATTATTTATTTAAAAACTAAATTATTTATTATTATTTGTTACTAATCAAGAAAAATATATATGTATCGACAGTTTATCTTTCTAAATAAATTCAAAAATTTTTCAACTTATAAACCATTTAATTTTTAGTATTTGTAGCTTCTATCTTAAAAAAGTATTATTTAATAAATCTAACAATTTGGATTATTTAACTTATCATTTATTATTTACATCTTATTTTGAATTAATGTGTTTATTAGTATTATTTGTCACATTATTAGTCACATATAACAATGTCAACAATTAAAAATTTTTACGAATTTGTTTATCTTAAAAGACAAAAACTAATGCAAAATTCTATCCTGCATAGCTTATTACTAACTTTAGTAACATTATAAGCTGATACATTACAGCTGATTGTAAAAACGTGAATATGATGCATGTGCATTTTTCTAACTAACATGGTATATGTATATATATATATATATATATAATAACCTGTTATTACGAAAACTTTTTTACTACTTTGCGTGAGGTGAAATGTTGAAATGTTGAAAACTCGAAACGAGGGGATGCAGAATATTTAAATACATCGTCGCAAGTTGATCGCTCGATACTTCTAAACAGGATAAAGAGCATGCGCATGAAACTTTTGCTGCATAGTAGATAACGGTATTTTCTGAAAAAGAAATAGGTGCCAGTCTTTAAATAACATTCAACATGGACAGTTCAAAATATACAGCATACCAAGGTGCTTCTTGTGATCATTATAATTGAGAAAGAGATGAGTAATTTTATAAAACATACGTTTATTTATGATAATATTTAATGTTTTCGTTATATTTTATCGTCATTAATAAAAATATCCTTTCAGTGCTAATTATTAATATACTTATAACTACTGTAATAAACATTATAGCCATTTATCATCATATTCGAAATAAGGATCTGTATTGTCCATTTGTTCTTATTTATTATTTTTTAAATAATTTGTAAATTTATATAATTAATAAAACATTTATTTTTGCAAACATTTTATTTATATAATTTAATAAACATAATATTTTATACGTTTATATTATTCATTATTAGTTCATGTATACGCTAAAGATTTTATCACATTTTGCATAAGCTATGACTTACTTAACTTTCTATAGATAGATTTCGAATGGGCAGTGAAACTCAATCGTATAACTTTAGATTTTATTGGACTTTGGCCTAAAACCGCACGAAATCCTCGACAAAAGTTAATGTGCAATTTTCGAGTACTCATCGTTTTCATAGCGATAACATTCGGCGTTCTGATTCCTTCTATACATTCTTTTCTAAAAATTTATGGTGATATCATGCTAATGATAGATAATTTACAATTTACTTTACCGGCTATAAGCTGTTCGATAAGAATCGCAATTTTTTGGTGGAAAAAAGAAGGTAAAACAATTTTCTGCTGTAACTCTGAACTGCTAAATGTAATAAACATATAAGCGGTATGCAAACTTATAACAAAATTACAATAAATCCAAATTTAAAAAAATTATTTATGTTTTTTGATTATTTAAATTTACACGTACATTATAAAATTAATTTTTTAAACATGCATACATATGTATGTATATCTATGTGTCTGATTTATATAAATTATTAATTTATGTTAATAGTAAACTTTAAATTAGAAATTTAGAATTATAAAACAAAATCTTAAATTGTTTCGGTATTTATTTATATCCCTTTCTTATTTTCTATCTATCATTTTTCTTAAAAATACAAAATAATTTTTTTTTCGATTTTATTATTAAGATTATATTAAATTTTTTTTGCTTAGAATTAAACCTTTATTCAAAGAATTGGAAAGGATACGGGCAATAGGAATCAAGCGCAGAAGACGTCGCACAAATAATATATCTATGAAGTGTGAAACTTCTTTATTCACTAAAACGCGCTTACATGTTTCGGCTCACTTTTGAGCCCTCCTCAGAGACAACAAAAATTAACATACATAAACTGTGAATAAAAATTATCCTATCATGGTGAAACGTCTTCTGCGCTTAACTCCTACTGCCCATATCCTTTCCAGTTCTTTGAATTATAAGGAGTCTTAATTAGTTTGATTTGTAATACGGATTTAAACTTTTATTGTATAATAGTTTCTGTTTTAATAATATTGAATGTGCATTAAATGTACAATATTAACATTTTTTAAGCTATCACACCAATCATTGATATGATTGCGGAGGATTGGATAGAATTGAAAAATGCGCAAGAGAGAAATATTATGATCAGAAAAGCGCAAATTGCACGTATGATTGTTGCGTGTGCATATTGTATCATGGCCTTAGGATGCTTATTTATTATCGTTCCTCCTGGATTTGGAATATCGATAAGATTAACGACCAATATTACTGATCCAGGCAGAATAGTACCACTACAAACTCATTATATTTACGATGTAACAAAACAACCTCAGTACGAACTGACGTATATTAGTCAAACTATCTATATAGTTCTCGCAGTTTTGTCTTATACTGGAATCGATCATTTTCTTGGGCTGCTAGTTTTCCATATATCCGGCCAATTGAACATTCTTAAAAATCGTTTGATAAATTTGGATACATATATCAATTCTCACGACATGTTAAAAATATGCGTGGCACGACACATTCGTTTACTTAGGTATAGTATTTTCCGAAAAAATTTACGGTAATAATTAATTTGTGAAAAATATATGGTAATAATAATTCAAATAATTTATTTTTGTTTTATATTTAATAACATAAAATATCTATCATAGAGCCATTACTATTATTGAAGATACATATAATGTAATACTTCTCTCATTATTTCTATACTTTGCAATACTTTTCGCTTTCTACGGCTTCCGTATAATCAACGTAAGTTAATAGCAAATACTTAAAAATGAAAATTTACTAATTAATTAACTTTAAATACAAAAATTAATTTATAAAATTATTAATAAAAATAATATCTAAATTATATTTAAAAAATACTATTGTTATTATATTTATAAAATGTATTATTTTAAATGTCTAAATTTTAATTACAAAAATGCTTCTATCACGCATCTTATAAATTCATATAGCTATTCGACGAAGGAAATGATTTATCACTCACACATTTGGTATTCTTTATGTCTACATTTTTTAATTTATTTGCACATATGTGTCTGTATTGTGCTCTTGGCGAGTTTTTAGTAGCCGAAGTAAGTTGTTTTCCTTTTTTTATTTGTATAAACATTGTATATACAACGCTCTATATATTAATACATATTTTTCATTTACAAACATATTGTTATTAATGAACAAATAAAGTTTATTATTTTTTACACACAAATAGTGAAAATTAATATCAGAAATGTATTGATAAAATAATTTATATTAAAAAATTAAATATTGAAAATAGTGAAAATTTAATGTAAACTTTTGAAAAAATAAAAATTAATGCATAATTTACATTGCATTTATTGTTTACATGAATATATTAATTTACATTTTAAATAACAGTACAAATTGATTTATAATCAATGAATTTATTTTATTAAGAAATAATATATAGATACAATTTTTATTCAAAAACGATTTTAATATTTTTTTAGTGTAATGAAATATATTATGCAGCCTACAGTAATGAATGGTACTCCGTGAATCCAAAAATTGCACAAGATTTATTGTTTTTGCTAATAAGAGGTGCCAAACCGATTCATCTCACCGCTGGAAAAATATTCCCCATGACAATGATGACATTTTGCAGTGTAAGATATTTTTGTGTTTAATTATAATTATTGTATAAAAAGCATTTTAATGATTTTAATGATACTTCGTATATATGTAATAAGTCTACATTATAATAATAAAAAAAACTTCTAAATATTTTATTTTATTATATTTGTGTATTTTTTAAATATATTTATGTATCTATTTTATATATACATTATGTACATCTTAAATTTCATGATTACATATCCATATTATTACTAAAAGTATTTTTTCAGTTAATAAAAACATCAATCGGATATATATCTGTTTTGCATACAACGAGAAGTCATTAAAAAAATAAATTTGAATTTTTTTGAAAATGTTATTATTTTATAAAATGCAATAATCCAAAGTTGTATAAATATTAAAATGTTATGACAAATTACAAAGTTTACTGTATAATTTCATAAAAATGTGTTAGAAATTATATTAAATAATGAGAAACATTTTGGAATTAAATTTAATTCTATGTTTTAATTTAAAAGTAATTTTCAAATCAAATCAGCAAATATCAATTGTTGATATTAATTACAGTATGAGCTTTTTCAGATGAATGACTTTGTAGACACAGAACAGTGTCGCGAATATGAGCCGCATCGTAACGCTACAAAAAGCGATGCCCATCTGAAAGCATCCGCAACGCTTCTTGTCATGCCATAATGTAGCCCATATGAACATATTCGCGACATTGTTCTGTAGCGCCACAGAATAGCTCCGCATGAATGGATCGACGCTTTCGATTGTGGTGTAACAAAGTTGCTCATCTGCATGAGCCTTAAACAGATCAAGAAGCTACTGCAATAATTTGTTACCCATAGCGACAAGTATGTAAGTGGATAACCTTTTATTTCATGTAATAAAACATAAAAACAGTACATATATATTTAACCCCGGTCGCGATTGCTTGAAGGAGAGACGGACTTTTCAAAATGTTGCAGATTTCAATTTTTTTACTGAAAAATCAATGTTGAATGTTGTTGCAATCGATAGTTAATATTCTTATTCCAAGACAGGCGGACTACTATATCCCTCAGAAAGGGCAAGCAATCGCCAAGGAATCGAATCAAAGTGGTAAATTTTTTCTGAAAAAAAAAATCGATAACGACAAGATTGAATTATTGCCCACTACTTAATTTGAATATCAATTGTCAAAAAATATGGTTCCCATCTTTTAGATGGTCATAAGGACAGCCATGTCTACCCAAATAGATCCAATTTTACATGGAGTAAGAAAATTGTATTTGCAGTTCACACACTCCTTTCTATTTATTAATTAAAAATATTTGTTAATAAAAAATATTTTATTATATGATTTATTATATATATTTCATTATATCTAAATAAAGCATATATTACAATTATCGTCTTCTTGTGTATCGTTTGCATTAGAAGTGGCAATGAAAAAGAAGGTCATCAATACCATTATATCACTTTGTTTGTAGACTATATTTCTTAAATAAAAGCTAAAAATTAAACTTTAGAAACATAAATACCAGTTAGAAAGTATTTTCTATAAGATATAGTTGTTATTATAATACTGCTTTCAATTTTGCAATCATTAACTTTTTAGTAAAATACACAAAATCGAGCAACTAAAGGCAGTAATACCACATACATATCTAATTTTTTTCTTTTCACAGGAGTTATATATTAAAAATGAGTTTTAACATAAATTTTATGAATTAAATATTATTTTGGATTAATGTATTATAGAACAAATTTTTTTGCACTTATAATTATTAATTATTAAAATCCTTTGACTTTTGATAACACCGTTATTATATAAATAAATAAAATGCAATTTGTAAATATATGTTTTCTATTAAAAAATGAACCATAAGTATTGTGATACCTAATATGAATTCTTCTTAACTACAGTTAGAATTTTATAGCCTTTCCAGACGCGTGAGAATATACCATACGTACACTTTTTCCAGCATGATCAACTTGCAACTTTTTATTCGCAAAATTTGAAACTAGAGTTAACGTAGAAAATTTAAAACTTTTTGTTACAAGTCGATTATTCACTACTTTCAAGAAGGCATATTAAAAGCATGCGCACGAGAAATGTTTTTTGATGTTCAGGAGGTAACATCGATTCATAAAAAAGACAGAGACATCAGTCTTTAAATAACACTGAACATGGAAAGTTTGAAATATGACCGAGGTGCTTATAGACTTGTGTGTGTGTGTGTGATCATTGTAGCTGTAAATAAAAATTTTAAGGAAGTATTTACTTTACTTGCAATATGTGCAAAGAGTGAAAGTATTTGTAATAGTAATAATTTATGTCTTATTAAATCACATCATTAACAGAAAATTATAAATTATCGCTTTTTATAGTGTATTTTTTATTAACATCTGTATTAATCTTAATATATGTAAATACATTAATATCTATATTATATTATTAAATGACATATTGTAACCTGTTAGCTAATTACGGCACTTTTAAGCTCAATCATAATTATTATTAATTATTTGTTTCTTCTTATGAATTAAATAATTTTTAGACTTACATGATTAAATTTCTAAGCAAAAATTGCCCAATATATTATTTTAAACGTATTTTACTAAATACGTTTACTAAATACGTTTACTAAATACTTTTTGTATATTTGGCTAATTATTAGATGTTGTATTATAGTATATTTTGTGTGTGTGTGTATTATGTAATCTTTTTAACAATCTTCGGACTTATCAAGGTTTCTGCAGATTTTGAGTGGGCGATGAAACTAAATCGTTCCACTTTAGATTTTCTTGGACTTTGGCCAAAGAACATTCAAAATCCTTGGCAAAAGTTAATGTGCAATTTTCGAGTGCTGATAGCTTTTCTAGGAATAACGTTCTGCCTTTTTATTCCTTCAATTCATTCATTGATAATAGTTTTTGGAGATATTTTGCTGATATTAGATAATTTACAAATTACTTTACCAGTTACGAGCTGCTTGATTAGGATCATAATTTTTTGGTGGAAAAAAAAAGGTAAACTTTATTTTTTATTTATAAGCTAAAAATATAGTTAATAATGTGATTAAAATACATGATTAACACATATGAATAAGATGATTAAAATATTAAAAGTTGAATATTAATAATTATATATCTTTAAATCTTTCATATTTATTCACAGATATAAATTTAGCTCATAAATTGATACATCTTATTTATTATGTATATATGTACATATATTATAGTTAGTCATGTTAGTATGCTTTCTAAATTTATGAGTATATTAAGTATTTTCTATATCTCATAGATTTTACACTTATGCTATTATAAATGTTAGGAAGAATAAATTAAAAATATATATGTAAAAAAATTAAAATAAAATCTTTTAAATAAGATTCTTATTACTAATTAATTTTTTTTGTAAATAGAAATATTATATAAATTATAAAAAAGAATGTATTATATTAATCATTTCAGTACATGCACATAAATACGTATACTTTTATATCAATAAAAAAAATATACATATATACATATATAAAAATTATTATTGAATGTACTTAATATTTCTTTCGTAAATTCATAAATATTTCCAATTTTTAATTATAATATCATTATGCTTTAAATTTTGAAGAAATAATAGCATTTTATGATTTTTATGATTTAGGATTGATTTTAATATATCTTTCTTATGCTGTAAAACGTGCAAAATTATTTAATTAAATTTTTTAAGCTATTATACCGATTTTAAACATGATCATGAAGGATTGGATAAAAATAAAAAATGATCAAGAGAGAAATTTAATGATACGAAGAGCGCAAACTGCACGAATAATTATTATTTGTTCTTACTGCATAATGGGATTACAATGGTCTTTTATTTCTGTGCTGCCTATTTTTGGAGTGACAATGAGACTGACACCTAATATTACTGATCCAGGAAGGATACCAATGCCTTTACAATCTCATTATATTTACGATATAACAAAAAGGCCGCAACATGAATTAACATTTATTAGTCAAGCAATCTATGTAGCTATCGGTATGATGGCCTATACTGGAGTGGACAATTTTCTCAGTCTCGTGGTTTTTCATATATGCGGACAATTAGACATTCTTGAAAATCGTATGCAACATTTGGATAAATACAAAAATTATCCCAAAATGCTGAAACGCTGCATAGAAAAACATATACGTTTGCTTAGGTTTGTTACTTGTAAGAAAACATATATGTGATAATCTGTACAAAATATGTGATTGAACATATTTGGTATATAAAATATCTTTCATAGAGCTATTGATATCATTGAAGATACGTATAATGGAATACTTCTCTCTTTATTTATATATTTTGCGATACTCTTTGCTTTCTATGGATTTCGGATAATTAGCGTAAGTATTATTGAAACTGAAAATTAAATGAAAATACGTTTATGTCTAAATTGTTCTGCTGAATAATTACGTACATTTTAATAATTATAATCAATAAGTAATTACATTTAAATTTATATGTTATTACAAAATTAAATATTATTACTAATAGAAATAATTATGTTGTATCATTTATGTTTTTTCATAACTTAATTAGCTATTCGATGAGGGAAATTATATGTCGATCACTCACTTAATCTATTTCATATCCTCTATTATCAATATATTTACACACATGTGCCTATATTGCGTCCTTGGCGAAATTTTAGTAGCTCAGGTAATGAGTTACATACACATTTTATTTTATTTCAGAATTACGTAAATTGATGTTGTATAGTTTTGCATGTTAAATAAATATAAATTATCGTACATATATAATAATGACTGATTTTTATTTATATATGAGGTAGTGTATATAATAATTAATATCTAAAAGTACTTTTAATATTTTTAAGTGCAACAAGGTATACTATGCGGCGTATAGTAATAAATGGTATACCATGGATCCAAAAGTTGCAGAAGATTTGTTGCTCTTAATGACAAGAGGTTCTAAACAGATTTGTCTTACCGTTGGAAAAATGTCCCCTGTTACAATGGCCACATTTTGCAGTGTAAGATATTTTAATATTTAATTATAATTATTATATTAAAATATTATTCAATAAAAATTTAGTTGAAACCTACTATACCTACATAAAATTTGAATTATTTTATGTACCAAGTGTACAATCTTTATTAAATTTTATGATTATTTAATTATTAAATTTATATTGTCATCATATTATTATTTACAAAATATATTTTTTAGTTAGTAAAAACATCCGTTGGTTATATATCCGTTTTGCATACAACAAGAAGGTGATACAAAATATGAAAAATGGAAACTTTTTGCCAATATTGTGCAATTTTTGATAGAATACGATAGAAATGTGTCGATATTCATATGTCATTTGCAAATACTTAGTACATTATTCAAGTAGAATGTGCCTAGAATTCTATTAAATAATGATAAAAATGTTTTAGTAGTATAAAAAATCATGTAGAAAAATTTGATTGACTTAAAATAATCGTAACCTGCAAATACTTATTAAATTGTAAGCCAATCTTTTTTTTATATTTAACTATTTATTTTATATAATATGTTAATTATTAAATAAATTATTAGATATAAGTTAACTAATTTTATTACAGTATTATATTTCGAAAGTTATTTATTTAATAAAATAAAAGTTATGTTAAACAAAATATCCTTAGTTTCTATGACAGTCTTTTTCATTCACTTTTGTTATAAACAATTTTGAGATATAAAGTTATCTCTATTTAATATGTAATTATTTGTATTTTCTCACATTAATCAATTTTTCTATTCTTTTTTCATAAAAATATACATATAGAATGTCTGGAATGTACAGCCTCACTCGTCCCGAATAGATAAAGCGGACTAAACTAAGTCGAAAAGTCCCGTACTATTTTGCAATGCTCGCAATAATTAACGAGATATTAACGTTTAAAGATAGCCGAATACGCGCGTCCGCTCAATCTACTTCGAGGCCCGCGGCGGTGAGCGCTTGCTCCACTTCCTGCGGGCCAAGCTATCGATGGCGGATATTCAGCGCTTTAGGAATAATATCTCGATTGCGAAAATTAGAAAATAATCAAGAACTGTTGGAAAAAAGTTTAGTTCATTCTGAACCGTGCATGTACATGCAAAAAAATGTTACGTAAATATTACTTGTTTCAAGTAAATAATAAGAGTATTTTAAAATTATATTATCAAGAAAATATTTTTCATAATGATGCAATCGTTACTCAAAAGAAGAAGAATAAAAATTGCCTTCTCTCTTAGCACTAGAATCAATCATTTTTTTGGGCTGTTAATTTTCCATATATCGAAGCAATTGAACATTCTCAAAAATAAATATTATTTTGGATTAATATATTAATTATAGGACAAATTTTTTTGCACTTATAATTATTACTTATTAAATTCTTTGACTTTCAATAACATTGTATTATATAACAAGTAAATAAAATGCAATTTGCAAATATATTCTTTCTATTAAAAAATACCATAAATACTGTGATACTTAATACGAATTCTTCTTAACTACAATTAGAATTTTATAGCCTTTTTCAGACGCGTGGGAATATAATGTACATACAGGCGCTCCTTTCAACAGTATGATCAACTTGCAACTTTTTATTCGCAAATGTCTCACATAAAGTTCTTGGAAATTTGATGAAAATTTAAAACAAGAGTTAACACAAAAAAATTTAAAACATTTTGTACAAGTTTAAAACATCTTGTTGTTCGATAATTTCAAGAAGGAATATTAAAAGCATGCGCATGAGAAATGTTTTTTACTATTCAGGAGATAACATCGATTCATGAAAAAGGCAGAGACGTCAGTCTTTAGATAACACTGGACATGGAAAGTTTGAAATATGACCGAGGTGCTTATAGTCTTGTGTGTGTGTGTGATCATTGTAGCTGTAAATAAAAATTTTAAGGAAGTATTTACTTTACTTGCAATATGTGCAAAGAGTGAAAGTATTTGTAATAGTAATAATTTATGTCTTATTAAATCACATCATTAACAGAAAATTATAAATTATCGCTTTTTATAGTGTATTTTTTATTAACATCTGTATTAATCTTAATATATGTAAATACATTAATATCTGTATTATGTTATTAAATGACATGTTGTAACCTGTTAGCTAATTACGGCACTTTTAAGCTCAATCATAATTATTATTAGTTATTTGTTTCTTCTTATGAATTAAATAATTTTTAGACTTACATGATTAAATTTCTAAGCAAAAATGCCCAATATATTATTTTAAACATGTTTCACTAAATAACTTTTTGTATATGGTCTAATTATGGTGTGTTATAATTATTTCAATATATGGTGTTATATTATAGTATATTTTGAATTATATATATCTTCTTAATAATTCTTCGGACTTATCAAGATTTCTGCAGATTTCGAATGGGCGGTGAAACTAAATCGTTTCACTTTAGATTTTCTTGGACTTTGGCCTAAGAACCTTCAAAATCCTCGGCAAAAGTTAATGTGCGATTTTCGAGTGCTGATAGCTTTCTTGGGAATAATGTTCTGCCTTTTTATTCCTTCAATACATTCATTGATAATAGTTTTTGGAGATATTTTGCTGATATTAGATAATTTACAAATTACTTTACCAGTAATGAGCTGCTCGATTAGAATCATAATTTTTTGGTGGAAAAAAAAAGGTAAATTTTTTGTTTATAAGTTACAAGTACGATAAATAATATACGAATAAAATATTAAAAGTTGAATATTAATTAATATATCCTTAAATTCTTCATATTTCTTCACAGATATAGAAATTCAGCTCATAAATAAATACATCTTATTTATTTTATACATAGTTAATCATATTAGTATGCTTTTTAAAAAATTTATGAGTATATATTAAGTATTTTCTATATCTCATAAATTTATAAACTTATGCTATTATAAGTGTTAGAAAAAATAAATTAAAAATAGACATGAATAAAACTTAAAATAAAATCTTTTAAACAAGATTCTTATCGCTAATTTTTTGTAAATAAAAATATTA